TGTTGGTACTGCCAATGGGAATTAAAAGGGAACCATGACCGTCCAGGCCGTTTGCCTGTCAGACCAAAAAAAATGTATGCACCACTTCCAGTTTCACTCCAGGTAACTGCAACATGGTGTGGCCATCTCAGGCTCCCCCCCTTCCAGACTCTCGCCGAAACAGCGAGAGAGATAATCTGCCGTGATGTTATCCTTACCAGGAACATGCTCACTGTGAACCGAGAAGGCTGCATTGCCAAGTACCATTGTGTAATTCTGCTATTGGAGTCCTTCATCCGTTGCAGCCACTGGAGGGCTTCGTGATCTGTCTCCAAGCTGAACTCCCTACCCAACAGGTAGTACTTAAGAGTCCAATGCCCATTTTACAGCCAAGCATTCCTTCACCTTCCTTATCAATACCTCTTTCTCTGACCTTGAGACCCATTCCTTGAGAAGGTTCACATGAATCACCTTGCTGGAGCACTTCTGCCCCGGCATCAAGATTTTATAAGTGGCTGGCCCCATCTTCTTCTCCACTTCAAAAGGCCCTTGCCACTTTGCCAGCAGCTTACTCTCCTGACTTGGCAACATTACCAGCACCTTCTGACCAGGCTCAAAATTCCTTTGGCGAGCCGACTGCTCATACCACCTTTTCTGTGTCTTCTGAGCCTCTGCCATGTGCTCCTGGGCCAGCACTGTCATTTCCTCCAGCTTATCACGCATCTGTATTACATAGGAGACAATGTTGACCTGCTCCTCCTGCCCCTGGTGTCCCTCCCATGCATCTTTGAGAAGAGTCAGTGGTCCTCTGACCTCCCTGCCATATAACAACTCAAAGGGGGAGAAACCTGTAGAGGCCTGTGGTACCTCTCTATATGCAAACAAAAGGTATGGCAACCATTGGTCCCAATCTGAGCCCTTTACAAACTTCCATAACATTTGTTTTAATGTTTGGTTAAACCTTCCTGTCAAACAGTCTGTCTGAGGATGATATGGTGTCGTTCGCACACCGTTAATGCCCAGCAACCGATAAACTTGCTTAAGCAATGTAGACAATTTGTACCCTGGTCTGTCAATCTCCAGAGGAAGTCCTACCCTTGAAAACAACTGCACTAAGCAAGATGCCACATGCTTAGCTTTAACAGACCTCAAAGGGAAGACTTCTGGATACTTGGTAGCATAGTCTGTGATCACTAACATAAACTGATTCCCTGACTTACTCCTTTCCAGAGGACCTACCATGTCCATTCCCAGCCGTGAAAAAGGAGTACTAATGGGAAGAGGCTGAAGAGGGGCTTTTAAGGGGCCCTTACTTGAGGTTCTGACACTGAGGACAGCTTCTACAAAATTGTGCTACCCCTACCCGCAAACCAGGCCAGTAAAAGTAGCGCTCAATGCGTGCGGTGGTTTTGCGTTTCCCCAGGTGTCCAGCCCAGGGAATGGAATGACCTAAAGCGAGCACAGTCTCCCGCACCCCTTGTGGAACCACCAACTGCTTAACCGACCCTCATTGACAGTAGCGCACACCCTGCTGAATAAAGAAATTCTGTCCAGCTATCAAATCCCTCTCTGCCCCTTTCTCCCTAGCCTTCTGAAAACACCAAGTTAAACTCTGATCTTCCTCCTGCATTTTACCCACATTGCCAAGTAGCTTCAGACCTAAACACAGTTCAGGTTTGACCTCCCCTGATGCTCTGGTGGCTGAATATTCCAACTTCTCTCACCTCTGCCGTCGTGACTTGCGAGACCTCCCGGGTACAGTCTCCAGGTCAGCATTATAAAATGGCAGAACACCAGGAGTTGAGGATGCCTTCTGAGACCCACTTTGCCTGTGATTGAGTTACTAAGTTACACATAGGGGGAGGTCGCAACAAATCAAAAAGCATTTGGCAAATCATGACCTAATATTACCGCAAAGGGGAGATTTTCAGCAATTCTTACCATTAAAAGATAGGTCTGCCCTTGTACCTTAACATATACATCCGATGTGGGAAGGTACCTTTCATCCCCATGTAAACAGTGAACAGGGACTCT